GCCATCATGGCCTACGATCGCTACCTGGCCATTTGCCGGCCTCTCCAGTACCCTGTGCTCATGAGCCACCAGCTCTGCCTGCTGCTGGTAGGAGCCACATGGGCCTTCTCCGTCCTCAAGTCAGTGACCGAGATAGTCATTGCCATGAAGCTGTCTTTCTGTGGCCACCATGTGATCAGCCATTTCATGTGTGAGATCCTGGCGGTGCTGAAGCTGGCATGTGGTGACACATCCATCAGTGAGGCTCTCTTGCTGGCTGGCAGCACTCTGCTGCTGCCCATGCCCCTGGCATTCATCTGCCTCTCCTACACTCTTATCCTGGTCACCATTATAAGGATGCCCTCAGCTGCAGGGCGCCACAAAGCCTTCTCCACGTGCTCGGCTCACCTGACCGTGGTGGTGCTCTTCTACGGTGCTGTCATCTACATGTACATGACACCCAAGACCAAGCAGGCTCACATTTCCGACGAGGTCTTCACGGTCCTCTATGCCGTGGTGACACCCATGCTCAACCCTGTCATCTACAGCCTGCGGAACAAGGAGGTGAAGGAGGCTGCCAGGAAGGTGTTGACCAAGAACTGGACCTCCAGGTGAGGCCGGCCAGGGCTCAGCGTCCACAAGAGTCTCAGGATAGTAAGTGAGGACATCATCTGCCTTCAGGGGACCAGGATGGGGAGAAAGGCCATGAGTCTAGTATCTTCAAGCTCTTCAGTGAGAAATGGAGGGCCCCACAATCTTTCCCTGCCTAATGAGTACCCCATCCCTCAGCTCCATAGTTTCCCTCCACATGCCATGCCCACCAACTGAGTGTGGGTCTTGGTACCACTACTCCATCCAGCGCTGTGCATTTCCTGGGCCATTCCCCCAAGGGAACCCCTCCGTGCACACAATTACGCAGGTGATTGGACTGTCTGATCTTTAAGGCCCAACTGAAGTGCTGCCTCCTTCAGGAAGTCCCACCACCACACACACCTTGCTCCTATCCTTGTGCAATCCCTTCCACATTTTCAGTGTTACTCCAGCAACAAAGCAGGTCGGGTTCCACTGTGTGCTATGCTCCAGCTCTGCCCAATCTCAGACCCTGTGCATGATTCTTCAATGAGCCAATTCGCACATTCATGTAGACATGATAATGGCAGAGACTGGAGTCTTCCCCACATCTGAGGAGAATGGGGATAGAGTGCCCACATGACCTTCCCAATGGGAGTGGAGCAATAAGACCAGAATCTACAATGGCCAGACCTATCCAGCCCAGGAGACACCAACCACCTAGAACTTTGAGCCGCACCTGCCAGTGCTCCCTTCCTGGGACTCAGATTTCACCTGGCTTGGTCCAGGCCTCCTCTACCTTTACTCACCCTCCTCCTAGGTGTCCTGCCGACTTGCACCTCCTGCTGCTCTCCCCCTCAAGCTTTTCTTTCTGAAACTCAGTGAACAGACCGTGAAAACTGCCCTGGGGCCA